GTTTTTTAAAAAAATATTTAAGGACCACCTCTGAATTGGTTTTTATCAAGTCTTGTACGTAAGTCTAAATCAGAAAAAACAAATAAAATTTATCCAAAACCTTTTTTTTTTTAATTCTTAATTCTAAGAAATACTTTTGGTTCAAGAAAATTAATTAAACGAACAGAAAACTAAAGAATATAAATTTGTAAAGAATATAAATAATAAAAAATAATTAAATAACATAATATAATAGAATATGCAGAGAATATAATAAAACTAACATAACTCTAAAGTATGAACAAAACAAACATAAAACTGTAAAACCTTAAAAACATAAGTAAATAAAACAAGAAGATTAAAAAATGTTTTGTATAAAAAAAAATCAAAAAAAAAAACATATACTCATATGCTGAATAATGTTGTGTTAAATAGATTTGAAAAAATAAATTTAATTGGAGTGAAACTTAAAAACCATTTCCAGATTTAACAATAACATTTTAGTAAAAAAAATCCAGTCATATATTATTTATACTATTATGTCTTAAAAGTAACTGATATTTTTTAAAATTTTAAGTTTTTTTTATAATTCCAATAAAACATAATTAAATTGAAAAAATTTACAAGATTTGTTTTAAAAACGTACCTTGGGGTTTCCAGGTAGCCTGGAACATCCTACAAACACTTTGGTTAAAGCTCCTTGACATTTTGCATTCTCTATTTCTCTGCCATAAATATTATCAAATTTGTTTCGACACCCAAAGAACAAAAACATTTCTCCAAATTCTACCTCACTCTGATGCAATAGATCAAACAATCTTTGTTGCCAGAAAGATCGAAACGGTGCAATACCTGTTCCAGTTCCCACCATTATTATGGGAGCAGATGAGGATAATGGAAAATTAAAAGCAGGAGCCCTAAAATATAAAAACACCAGTTAAAACATAATTGGGCTAGGAAGGGGAATCATTAAAAACAAAAGGTCTACAAACAAAAATACAACAATTAACCTAATGGTTAGTCTTTATTTTATTTTACAACAATTAACCTTATGTTTAATCTTTCTTTTATCTTATAACAATTAATCTAATGTTTAGTTGTTCTTTAGCCTTATTATAAAAATAATTTTATATAATATTTTTATATAATATTTCATAACAATTATTGTATAAAACAAAACAAAACAAAAAAAGGAAACAAAATTAAATTTAAAGATAAATAAAATTAATACTTCCTGACAAAACAGTATATTTCATCTTCATATTTTCTTGAATGCAGCCATGAAGAACACACACCATTGTGAACAACATCTAATAATATACTCATAATCAAAATGAAAATATCAAGCTTGATAGATTATGAAATAATTTCAGAAAAGGGTTTTAGGGAAAACTGAATTCAAGAAAGGTTTTTTATAGGAGAAAACTTAGGAAAGAGTTTTAGAGAAAAGGAAACAGCAATGAAATAATTAAAAAGAATAAACTTAGAGTTTTTGAACAAAGTTTTTAATATTTTAGAAAAATAACAAGTTGAGGGGACAGCAGATTGAGGGGACAACAGATTGAGGGGAAAGCAGATTGAGAGGACAACAGATTGATGGAATCATATATTGAGGGGACATCAGATTGATGGAGTCACATATTAAGAGAAAATAGATTGAAGGTACTACATTGTTTTATGTAACCACTACATTCAAAAAGAATTCTGATTTTATAACTTTTTTTAAATCTGAATGAATTAACAAAACTTTTCTGAATGAACAAAATGAATAAATACAACATATCTGAGTTAATAAAAATTATTTGGATGAATGAAACCTTACTAAATGAATGGAACCTTACTAAATGAATGAAAATTTACTAAATGAATGAAACCTTACTAAATGAATGAAACCTATCTGAATAAATGAAATGAAGTAAAATATATAAAATATATAGAAATATTATATAAGTCAAACTTCACAGCAATTATTAAATTTTTTAATGACAAAATTGATTGGTTGGAAAACCAAATTACTACTCAAAAAAGCTGAAATATTCTTAAACTTTAAATGCAATTCAAATAAAAAGTTTTATAAGCAAAAAATAAGCTTTAACATAACAAAGTTTAACCTGAAAATATTCAAGATTAAAAAACATAGTAGCTGAAACCATCAAAGATAAATTGGCAGAGCCTAAAGAAATAGGGGGTAACAATTTAAGAATAAATGGAATTGTAGGATCAGTAAACGAAAGTTGCATATATATATATATATATATATTTTTTTGCATATATTTATACTGCATATATATATATATTTTTTTTTTACTCAACCATATCAATAAAATTTACAAATTTCATAGTAAAATAATATAAATTGGTTAGGTGTCACTCATATAGTTAAAAACTAGTCAATAGAGTGACACCTAAAAAACATAAAAATTTCACGAAAAAATAAATAAGTAAATAAATAGAAAAAAAAAAAAAAAAAAGGAAAAACTCAACATCTATATATATAAATAAGAGAGAAAAGGAGAAAAGATTGTTAAACAAATAATAATGATATATTTAATAATAATAGTAATAATACAAAATAATATTAATAATAATAAAGTACCAATAATATTAAGAATATTATAATACAATATAAATTGTATGTACAAATCATAGATGATAATTAGATATAATAATAACATAAAATGTAACATTAATAACAAAATAATAAATAAATATAAGATAGGTAAATAATAAATAAAATAAAAATCAAACCACTTGTTCGTTAAAGAGATTATATATTGAAGACAGCTACAGTACAGAGAGAAATTATAAAGAAAAACACTCCAACAATATATTTTTAAATTGAATTCTGTTGAGCAGTAAAAAATTCGTAACAAGTGGATATTTTTTCTTATACTTTTTTATTAATGCAAAAATACACTGGTTCCATTGAGAAATACATTGTTGTTTTATGGAAAACTTTTTTTTTTGATTGTGTTGAAAAAAGAATAGTATAGCTTACTATTTTCTGTATTCCTAGTGTGATGATTATGAACTTTGTTTGTTTTAATAAAAATATTTGAAAAAGGGCTTGGTAGTTTATTTTGGAGAAAGTCAAACACAAAAAGACAATTATAAAACTTTACAAGATTATGGAGTTTTAGGATTTTGAGTTCAGAAAATTTATTTTCGATATCAGATCTCATTGGGGAAAACTATTATTCTAATAGATGTGCGTTGTAAACTAGCAAAGTTATTAAGTAAAAAGTTTCTTTTTTGACCCCAAACAATACAACAATAGCAAAAGTGAGAAGAGAATAAAGAAAAATAAATCTTTCGAAGAGTTTGGATAGGAACATAGTAACGAATTAGAGGAAGCATACTGTTAGCTCGAGTAAGTTTTTTTTTTAGATGATACAGTTGATTATACCAAGATAGGTTTTCATCAAGATATATTCCAAGATACTTTATATATTTTGATGGAAAAAGATTTTTATCGTTAATTTTAATTTTAATATGATCAATAGTTTTTTGAGGGGAATGAAAAATAATGTATTCAGTTTTATTGACATTCAAGGAAATATGGTTACTATTTAACCAGTTACATAAGCGACGAAGATATTGATTAACTTTTTTACAAAGAGTTGTGAGGAATTTGTTGATATATAAAAGATTGGTATCGTCAGCATAATGATGTATCATAGAATTTTTTAATGAACAAGATAAATTATTTATATATAATAAGAACAACGACGGTCCAAGAATGGAACCTTGTGGAACGCCATATTTAATATTTATTTTTATTATTGTTATTATATTTTTTAATTTACATTTCTCTTAACTTTAATTAGTTTTCTTACTCTTTCAGTCTGATTTTATAATTTTCTTCAAAATTTTTGTTTTTGTTATAGTTTACTGTTTGTTTGGCTGTTGCATTATTGTTTAACTACATTAATATTATTTATTATAATTCTTAGTTTTTTGATACTTTAATTGGTTGTTTTTAATTATCTATTCATACGCATTATTTTATTTTAACAATTATTAATAACATAGCTATTTACTTCCTACTTATTGTTTCTTACAATCTCTCAATAATGCAACAGTCAAAGTTGCCGCTCATCTCAATGTAATATTTGTTTATTTTGGTCTCATACAAAATGTGACAGGCTTAATGATACTAAGTACAGTTTACTACAAATAAGTCGCTCATTGCAGAGTTGTTTAAACTGTATTAATAGTGTCTTTCCATTCACAAATGTACAAGATAATGAACTTTGCTCTACGGCCGACTTGCTAACTGCTGTAACTGAAAGATTTTATCCTGCATTAGATGGAGGCGGTGAGGCTAGGGCTATTGCTCTCGACATATCTAAAGCTTTCCACAAAGTTTGGCATGCTGGTCTTCTCCATAACCTTGCTTCATATGGTGTTTCTGGGAAAGTTTTTGAGATTATCAAATCATTTCTTTCTAACCGGTTTATTAAAGTCATCCTTGAAGGCCAACACTCTTCTTTATTTCCAGTAACTTCTGGGGTTCCCTAAGGTTCCATCCTGGGCCCTGTTTTGTTTCTTACCTACATAAACGATCTTCCTGACAACCTTTCATCTAAAGTAGCTCTTTTTGCTGATGACTCAACTTTATACTCCTGTCTTGACAAAAAGTCTTCTCTTTTCGATCGCCTAGAACAAGCAGCTGATCTTGAATCCGATCTCACTTCAGTAATAGATTGGGGTTCACAGTGGCTTGTGAATTTCAACTCTAACAAAACCCAGTTGCTTACTGCAAACAACTACCGTAATATGGTCAACATTCCTATATTAATGAATGGCAATCCTCTTACTGAGTCGTCCTCTTTACGTCTTCTTGGATTATCGCTTACTACTGACCTTTCATGGAAACCATATATACAATCGATTGCTAAATTAGCTTCTGCTAAGGTTGCTTCTCTTTGCTCACCATTTTCTTACTTCTGATTCCATTCTCTACCTCTACAAATCTCTTATTCGTCCCTGTATGGAATACTGTTGTCATATTTGGGCTGGTTCTTCTAACGATTCACTTTCTCTTCTTGACAAGGTCCAAAAACGCATTGTAAATGTTGTTGGACCTGGACTATCTGCTAAGCTTGAACCTCTTTCCCATCGTCGTAAAGTTGCATCTCTTTCTCTTTTCTACAAATACTATCATGGTCACTGCTCAAAGGAGTTATCATCTCTAGTTCCATCAACTAAAATTCAGCTAAGTCTCATTCATTTACTGTATCTGTCCCTGCATGCTCTAAAAACTTTTATTCATCTAGTTTTTTTCCCCGCACTTCAATCCTTTGGAACTCTCTCCCATCTTCATGTTTTCCTGACTCATACAACCTTCAACTTTTCAAGTCTTCTGTCAACCGTTTCCTTGCTCTATAACTCTGTTCTTTTTTATCCTAGTAACTCCCAACTTGATAGTGGTTGCTTGCAGCCTTGTTGGGAGTGAATGTAAATAAAAAAAAAAAAAAAAAACTTAAATTTCTATTTTCCTCTGATATAATTCTTAAAACTGATGATTTACCTCTACAAACTTTTTCCCATATTTTCATTTAAATAAAGTCTCTAATCAAGTTAATAACTATGTTTCATCTCATGTTTTAAATTCTGAGAAAGAAACTTCTTCTTCATTAGACATATTTTGTAAATATTATGACATAAGCGAATTATGTACACTTAATTTTAATAAAATAAGCGCTCTCTCCTTTTTTCATCTAAACATATCAGCGTTACAAAAACACTTTGAGGATTTAAACATAATATTATCATTAATTAATTTTGATTTTTCCATTATTGGTATAACTGAAACAAGATTAAAAAAAGGAATATCCTCAATTCATCCGATTCTCATTGATAATTACAAGATTAAGCAGATACTAATGTATCTGCTTAATCTTGTAATTATCAATGAGTTAACTGTACCGCCACAGGATTCGTTATTATATTTGATAAATATAATAACGAATCCTGTGGCGGTACATTATTATATTTATCAAAAAAAATATATACAAACGAAGAGATGATTTAATGATTTATACACCTAATTGTTTAGAATCCACATTTGTTGAAGTTATTTTTTCTAAAAAGTCTAATATTATTGTTGGTTGCAGTTATAGACACCCTTGCATGGATATTAATATTTTTAATAATATAATGTCTGTCTTACTTCAAAAAATATCTGCTGAAAATAAATCTATTTTTTTACTTGGTGATTATAATATTGATCTGTTTCAATCAAATAATGACATTGCAACATCTGATTTTTTAAACTTATTTTCTTTTTATAATATTCGCCCTTTTATTACTTTGCCAACTAGAATTACTGATCACTCTGCTACAATTATTGATAATTTTTTCTCTAGTTTAATAGCTAATGAAATTGTTTCAGGAAATTTGACAAGTTCTGTTTATGATCACTTACCTCAATTTTGTATTTGTCTCAATTTCAATAAATTATTTATACCACACAGACACAATTTATATAGCAGGAGTTTAAAAAACTTTAATAAAAAAAACTTTAAATCTGATTTATCAAAAATTGACTGAGACGATTTTACAATGATATTAACCATGTTTCCAAACGTTTATTACTGAAACAACATTGATTTTAGATCGTTACGCCCCACCTAAAAAAATCAGTATAAAAAACATCAAACGTTGATTCAAACCATGGATTACAAAAGGAATTATAAAATCTATTCAAGTGCACAATCTTTTCCAAAAAAAAATGTTAGGATCTAAAGATCTTATTAATAAAAAAAAATTTGAAAGTATTTTTAAAAGATATAAATATATAATAGTTACATTAATTAAACTTAGTAAAAAAACCATTTTAAAAATTTTTTCTCAGAAAATGTAAAAAAATCTTAGCGAACTTTGGAAAGGTATTAACACTCTAAATAATGTAAAAAATTTGAATAAATCACCTCCTAACTGTTTGCAAGAAAATTATACATATATAACTGACCTGACTTTAATCTTTGAATCGATTAACACTTTTTTTTACAAATGTTTCTCATAAACTCAAATCCAATATTCATTCATCTTACATTAACTATCAAAAATATCTTAAACATCCAAATTTACATATTTTATTATTATCTCCAACAAATATTTCTGAAATTTTATCTCTTATATCTAAATTAAATCCAAAAACATCATTAGGTTCAAACAGCATTCCCACAAATATTTTAATAGATTTTAACTATGATTTTTCAAATATTCTTTCTAAACAATTTAATACCTCATTTATAAATGGAAAATTTCCTGATATTTTGAAATTATCTTGCGTTATTCCAATATTTAAAAATGGCTCTAAACTTTCATGCACTAACTACAGACCTATTTCTCTTTTATCTAACATTAGTAAGCTTCTTGAAAAACTTATGTATTCTAGAGTGTACTCTTTTCTAAACTCATTTAATTGTTTAAATGATTTTCAATTTGGTTTTCGATCAAAACATTCTAGTTGTCATGCATTAATAAGTATAACGGAAAAAATCAGGAAAGCTCTTGATACTGGTCATTTTGTTTGTGGTGTTTTTATCGATTTACAAAAAGCTTTCGATACTGTTGACCATAGTATTTTGATTTCTAAATTAAAACATTATGGAATTCGCGGTATTGTAAATGACCGGTTTTGATCTTATCTTTCAGATCGAAAACAATTTGTAAGTATTAATGGTTTCAATTCTAGTTATAAATCAGTTTTGTGTGGTGTTCCTCAAGGTTCTGTTCTAGGTCCTCTTTTGTTTTTAATCTAAGTTAACGACCTAATCAACTCTGTTCACTTCTCTTCAGTCCATCTGTTTGCTGATGATAAAAATCTCTTGCACATCAACAAATCGTATCATTCTTTATGTAAAAATGTTAATTCGGATCTAAAAGGTATAGTTCACTGGTTAAATGATAGCCTAATATGTCTCAACACCAAAAAAAATGAACTAATTTTTTTTTCATCTCCAAAAAAAACAATTTCTTTAAAAACAGGAGCCTTGCATGCATTTTGAATGAGTTCAAAAAAATATGTCTTAAAATACCTTTACTCCATTTTAAACAATATCAATTTAAAAAAATTCTGAAAAACTGTTTATTCTAACTTTTTGGCATTATTATCCTTATGATTTAAATATTATTTTAATTTTCTTTTCGTAATTACTACAATTATCATCAGCACTTTTTGTTTATTTTTTTTATTAGTAAAACCTGCAAATTGATTTCTACATGTTTGTTTTGATGTATATTTTATGTGCTTTGGTTTGTGTGTTTCCGGTCCATGTGTCTCAGTGTATGTCTTTGCTTATTAGTACTTATATAATATTAAAAATTGGTGCCACTCCTTTGATCAGATTTCTGTATGAGTGACACCATCCTAATAAATCATAAATTTATTATTATATTAATATTAGTTATTATTATTTTTTCATTGTAATTATTGTAAACATACTTATTATTACTATTACTATAAATTGTATAATTATTTTTTTTTATCTTATGTTATTATTATATATTTTTGCTAATTACTATTTTTATTACTATTTTTATTATTATCATTATTATCAAAACTACTGAAAATGATTTACGGAAAATAAATGGCTTATTTTTGTTGTTGTTGTTGTTGTTTTTATAAAAATTATGCCAAAAAATTAGTAAGACATAAAAAAAAATTAAAAAAAAAATACTACTCCAATTTACTTATGAACAAAACAAGCATAACTCAAAATGCACAAGAATTTCGAAGAGAATTTAATAGTATGCAGAAAAAAAACCAGGGGCACTGTCCAAAATACTAAAAATTAATGATGAGTTTGCAACTTACAAACGGTTCTTTATGAAAAGACTTGCAAGGTACAAAAATTTTCTGCATTTTTTTTTTAAATACTCGCACATTTGTTTTATGTCTTTCTTATTTTTTATTACTATTTTATTGAAAATGGTTTACTAAAATGTGTAAAAAATTAAAAAAAAAAAAAAAAAGCTTAAAACTAAATGAACTAGATCACAAACAAAAGAATTTCAATAAACATGCTAGGCAATAATTTTTTACCAGCTCATGAATAAGCCAATGTTACTTTTTGTACAGCTGACAAGGAACAGAAAGATAATATTCAAACAGTTTTAGATTTAATGAAGAGTATGTATTAAGAGTATGAAAAATTGGCTTTAAAACAGAAAGTTCAAATAAAAATCCAAAAAGTAAAAAGAAAAATTATAAATAAGTTTTAATTTCTAATATTGGGTTTTACAAGTTTTAATTTTTAGATTTAATAACATAAACTTTCTTACTATTGATAGAATAAGTCACCAGTGCTACTGTTATATGAATTTCATTAGGATAAAGGTCTGGTGATGAAGATACAGAGTAATACCTCTAAATATTGAAAAAAGTATTGATATTTGTATATGAATATATTTATACAGGACATTTATAATATATATATATATATATATATATATATATATATATATATATATATATATATATATATATATATATATATATATATATATATATATATATATAATATACATATATATATATATATATATATATATATATATATATATATATATATATATATATATATATATATACATACATATATATATATATATATATATATATATATATATATATATATATATATATATATATATATATATATATATTTTATATATATATATATTATTTGTAACATTTTATTATTACCTGATGATGCTGACCACAATAGGTCAGCGAAATATCGTTAATATATTTTTACATCAAAATATATTTAAAAATAGTTATATGCTGCCTTTTTATTAAAATCAATTTACATATTATAATATAATATGTAAATTGATTTTAATAAAAAGGCAGCATATAACTATTTTTAAATATATTTTGATGTAAAAATATATTAATATTAAATATATTAATATAATATTATTATATATATATATATATATCGTATAACAAGAAATGACTTTTAAAGATTATATATATATATATACATATATATAAATATATATATATATATATGTGTGTGTGTGTGTGTATATCAGGGGCAGATCTAGAGTGTCGCCACTGATGTGCATGCATCACTCTTTTTGCACCGCTAAATTTAAGTGTATCTCTTTTTCACTCTTTTTACATAATAAAAAGTTAAAAAAATTAGAATCTGATATTCACAAAAAATGTAAAATTTGTTTTAAACTCAAAATAATTAAATCTAAACTCGATTTTATTTGATCTCTATAGTTACTATATTTGTTACTAAGACAAAATTTCCTGCATTTTGGAGTAACTGATGCAATTTTTCTTCATTAAGTACAAATGTGATTGGTTAAAAAAAAAAAAATTTAGGCTTTAAGCAATCGTATTTGTACATTTTTACAAATTTTTCTGATCACTTTGTAGCAAGTGATGCAATTGTACTCTAAATCATAATCATAACTCTAAATGATTGGTTAAAAAACAGTTTAGACCAATCACTATTTATTAAAAAAACAATTGTGACAGTTGCTAGAAACCTTCCGCAAAAAAATAAAAAAAAAGTTTCAAATAAGATAAAGAATGTTTTTAATAATCAATCATTATTGTAGAAAGTTTAGAACAATTTCATCAGTTGCTCCAAATTGTTCAAAATATACAAAATTCTGATATTCCGTACTTCGCTCATAATTTTTGTCTTAAGACTTTGGTAGTAAATTAAAGTTTTGAAACAAAGATGAACTTTTTAATCTCAAATGCAATTATGGCTAGATGTTTTCCAAATATTTACAAATATAAAAGTCAGTTAACTAAAGAGTTGAAAATTATAAATAACAAGTGAAACTAAAGATTTGAAAATTTTAAATAAACAGTGTACCCATATAATTAGCCTTTTGAAAATTCTGAAATGGATTGTTTTATCCTGAAGCAAGAAGATAGTAAAGATTATGTTGCTTTAAAGTAAAACCCTATTACTAATATTAATGGTGTTATATATTTTCAGCTAGAAAATAATATAAACTGATTTTGTTACATATACTTTTTCTTATTTTTACTTATCCTTTTCACTTTATTAGTCCTAAAACTGAAATAAAAAAAAAAAAACAATTCTCTGATGTTTCTTTTACAGAAAAAAGTTAATTCTGAAAAACATATCAAAATCTAAAATTAATTTAAAAAAAAAACAATGCTTTTATAGAGTTGCCTTTTAAACTTTCTGTAGATTCTAAAATATTTGAGTGATTAGATTCCAACTGAATTAATATTTCTTTATATAAAGACTCAAATTCTTTACATGATATTTTAACATATCTAACCCATGGTAAACTTTTAACTGCTGGCAAAGACAATGCAATTTTGTTGAATATGGTAAACAAAGTATTTAGTCCTATTTCTAAACTTGTTTAGCCAATATCTATTAATACAAAAAGATCATTTAAAATTGAATGGATCAGCCACTTTTTTTGGTTAGCTTACTCTAGCAAAGAAGATGGAGCTTACTGTTTTTCTTGTACTTTGCTAGGTGCTAGTATTCCATATAAGTCTGGAATACTGAACTTAGTTTTCAAGCCTCATCAAGAATGGGGTTATTAATCGGGATTTTAAAAAACATGAGAATCGTTGTGTTATACACAAAAGGTCTATGCTTTCATCTAATGCATTACGTTCATGTTGCAACTCCAAAAGTAGTGTTATTGATGTTAATTTAAATAATTCTTATTTAAAACTTCTTTCTGATTAGAAAAAAAAATTAGTTCTAATAATTAAAACAATAATATTTCTTGGCAGAAATGATTTAGTATTTCGTGAACATTGAGATGATATCAAATGTCATTCGGATATTAGGGAATTTTCTACACAAAAGGTTAGAAGAGATAACTTCATAGAGTTTTTAAAATTTTGTGTTGATGCTGGTGATCAAATATTAGCTAATCATTTTTCTTCAAGTCCAAAAAAAGCAACCTATTTATCAAAAACTACCCAAAACCAACTTATTGATGGGATTTGATTTAGTTGTAGCAGCTGCACGCCAAGTTTAAAAAGTGAAAAACTATGGAAATCTGATTTTTATGAGTTTTAAATTTCTATCTATCTGATATGCCTCATTTTACTTCAATGCATCCTGAGTTAGATTTATGGGAATTATTTTTGAAAAACTAGTAAATATTCCTTTGACTGTTGCTTGTATTTTAAAGACTGACACCAGAGGTTTTCCAAATATAAAAAAAGTGTTTATAGTATTAGGAACAATTCCAATAACAACTTGTGAATGTGAAAGAAGTATTTCAATATATATATATATATATATATATATAATATATATATATATATATATATATATATATATATATATATATATATAGAAAAGGTTAGAATCCAGAAACCGAGGGGTAACCTTAAACAACATTACTTCACATTACGTGCCTCTTAAGAAAAGAATCCAGATGTAGAGGGCTAACCTTAGGCAAAATGATAGTATACAGATAAAGTGCAAAGCCCTATGGCTTACCTTCTTTTTGGTGCACTTTGTTAAGTAAATTAGGTTTAAAATTACATGTCTAATTTATGAACGAAATAGCCAAGGCAACATTTGTGAAAATTTCTGTTAAAAATAGATAATACAAAAGCAATAGAAAACAAATTTAGTTATTATTTAATGTCATAAACAGCAGTGTCACTCCTAAAAAAAAGTTGCCTGGGCATGGCCTGTCATCCTTGCTACGCCTTTTTCTGTCCCTCCACTTTTGTGTTGACTATACTTAATTAAAATTGAACCCTAGGTAGGTTGTAGGGGGGTGTTCTATGAAAAAATTTTGCACCCATCTTAAAATGCTAGATCCGCCCTCTCTCTCTCTCTCTCTCTCTCTCTCTCTCTCTCTCTCTCTCTCTCTCTCTCTCTCTCTCTCTCTCTCTCTCTTATATATATATATATATATATATATATATATATATATATATATATATATATATATATATATATATATATATATATATATTATTGAGTTGTGTTGTATTCTGTTGGATTTAATAAAGCTCTTTGTCGGTTTAAGAGTGATCGATATTTATAAAATAGATCAAAATATATTAAATATTTAAATGAAAAAAATACGACTTTTTTATGGGACTTCAAGTTTCATGCCATTTGGCAATCATTCAGCCATATATTTAAAAATCATTAAAATAAAAACCGTTATAAAAATACAAAATTGCGTTGCAACGAGATCAAACGTCAGTTTTCACGCCAAACGGGAATTTATTTAACCGGTGTCGAAATTCGATAGCAAAAACTTTTTTCTGTGCCTACATGCTGAAACCAATTCACTTTTTTATTTAACAAAGGTTCTTTATTGTATGTTGAAATAAAATATTTCTCATTTATGCAAAGATTACATCTTTTTGAGGATGGGTTATAGAGTTGACATTTTTTAACAATACTCCACTTGATTATTGGTTTAATGCCTGCTTCCTTAAGTTTCCAGATCTCTTTAGAAAGTTCAGCGTCATTTTTTTCATGTCATCATACTAATAAACACAAACGAAGCATCATATGGTTTAATCCCCCTTTTAGTAAGAATGTTGTCACCAAATTAGGAAACCTTTTCTTGAACTTAATCGACTTACATTTCCCAGCACACCACAGGCTACACAAGATTTTTAACAGAAACACCATCAAAATAAGCTACAGCTGCATGCCAAATATTAGTACTATTATTAAGTCTCACAACCAACACATTTTGCGTAACCAAAATACCGAAAACGCAAAGATTACATCTTTTTGAGGATGGGTTATAGGGTTGACATTTTTTAACAATACTCCACTTGATTATTGGTTTAATGCCTGCTTCCTTAAGTTTCCAGATCTCTTTAGAAAGTTCAGTGTCATTTTTATACCTGACCAAGTTGAATGATTTTATGTGGTTTGCAAACCTGATCTTGAAGGAGTTTTCGCTAATACCAATATAAGATTTCTTAGCGTGGTTGACGTTCGTTGGTGTTACGGTAGCTTTGTAAACAATATTTTTAGTTAGACATTGATTTTCTAAAGGACACGCAGCTCTGTCTATACAGTTGCATTTTCTAACGTTTTCGGTATTTTGGTTACGCAAAATGTGTTGGTTGTGAGACTTAATAATAGTACTAATATTTGGCATGCAGCTGTAGCTTATTTTGACGGTGTTTCTGTTAAAAATCTTGTGTAGCCTGTGGTGTGCTGGGAAATGTAAGTCGATTAAGTTCAAGAAAAGGTTTCCTAATTTGGTGACAACATTCTTACTAAAAGGGGGATTAAACCATATGATGCTTCGTTTGCGTTTATTAGTATGATGATTAGTTTTTTGTAAATTTAAATTAGGACGATATTGGATATTGCTGCTATGTCCAGACTTTATAAGGGCTTCTTTGTAAATAGAAGAAGAGTTTTCAAAAATTATTTTGCTGGAGGAGTTTGATGATAATCTTTGTTCAATAGAGGTCGGCAGCTGTTTTAAAATACTTGGTGGGTGGTTAGAGCTGGCATGGATATAGTTTAACAAACTTTCAGGTTTATGGTAAGGTTTGAAGCTGCAGTCATTAAGATTTAATGTAATATCAAGATAATTCACAATTTTTATGTTGCATTGAATAGAAATATTAAGGCTGTTACTTTTAAATATCTGAGTTATATGTTTTTTAACTTTTTCCATTTGTGGACCGCTGGCGTTTTTGATTACGGCCAACCCATCATCTCTATACAGCCCAAAGTCAAACTTGTTATAAAATTGAGAAATTTGGAAAAGAAGGAAAATTCCAACCAACTCACATACCTCGGCACCGTCAAATGCTCCCATGGTGACGTCAAACAAATCACCTGATTTTTTTATCCAAACTTCGTTATTGTTAAATAACAAGGATTTCCGTGCGTGTTGAATCAAAGATTTGTGCTCGTTTGTAATGGTAACATACTGTTCAGCAAAGCAAATAGAGTCGATAAGAAGTTTCTCTGTAATAGAAGGATAAAAGTCAACAATATCAAAAATGAGAAATTTATAAAAATGTTTGTCATTGATGTTCTTGAAAAAGGTAATTAAATAATCAAGTGGAGTATTGTTAAAAAATGTCAACCCTATAACCCATCCTCAAAAAGATGTAATCTTTGCATAAATGAGAAATATTTTATTTCAACATACAATAAAGAACCTTTGTTAAATAAAAAAAGTGAATTGGTTTCAGCATGTAGACACAGAAAAAAGTTTTTGCTATCGAATTTCGACACCGGTTAAATAAATTCCTGTTTGGCGTGAAAACTGACATTTGATCTCGTTGCAACGCAATTTTGTATTTTTATAACGGTTTTTATTTTAATGATTTTTAAATATATGGCTGAATGATTGGCGAATGGCATGAAACTTGAAGTCCCATAAAAAAGTTGTATTTTTTTCATTTAAATATTTAATATATATATATACATATATATATATATGTATATATATATATATATATATATATATATATATATATATATATATATATATATATATATATATATATATATATATATATATATATATATATATATATATATATATATATATATATATATATATACATACATATACATATACATATATACATACAGCGACGTATCCAGGCCGATTTTGATACCGGTATACCGGTATGGGCCCCCAAATTTCAGCCCAAACTCAATTTAAAACACTTTTATATTAGCATTTGTTACAATTACATAAATATCAACATTTGAAAAACTATTAAAGTACATTATAAGTGTATTTTAAAAGTCGCATTTAAAATACATTATAAATGTATTTTAAAAGTAAAGTATTTTAAAACTTAAAATACATTATAAATGTATTTTAAGCCAACCAAAATGCTTAATTCGAATTCACGTTGATGAAATATAGAATATGTTGAAATTGGATTAAATGTAAAACGCACGTTTTGATTGGATTAAAATATGAAACGCTTAGCATTTTTAAATAACATTTTAAAATACATTAATATGAGTTTCTCCTTCGCTTACGTTTTCATAACATAATTTTCGAAGCAATTAAACTAGATGAGTTTTAAACTTTTTCATTTCAAACAACAGTAAAAATTGTTTGTAAAATACTTTAAATAATAAAACGAATGAAATTTTTTAAAACATAAAATTAAAATAACATTTATTTAAATAATTAAAATAACATTTTAATATTCGCGCCAAAAAACTTTATTGGAATAGTAAGAGTAGAACTAGAAAAAAAAGTTATGAATTTTTGAATGAATTAAAATTTCGAATGAATTTACCTTGTTTTAAATACGCTATGTAATAAAGTTTATATCAAAGAGTCATACAAATATTGTTTATTAAACGTTATAGTTATTGTTTGTTTATGAAATCATACTCTTTTTATTTCTAGTTGATAATATTTAATATTTGGAATTTAATTATTTAAGAATTAGCATTAATTTATAAATAGTAAGTGTATGGAGCAAGTAAATGAAAAGTAGCGATTAGCGATAAATCATTATATATTATATACGAAGAATTGTATTTAAATTTGAGTAAAAAAATAAAAATAGAAAAAAATAAAAAAAAAAAGGTCCTCTAAGATAGGCAGAACTTTTAGACCGGTATGCCCAAATTATTCCTGGATACGTCACTGACATATATATATATATATATACATATATATATATATATTTATATATATATATATATATAAATATATATATATACATATATACATATATATATATATATATATATATATATATATATATATATATATATATATATATATATATATATATATATATATATATATATATATATATATATATATATAAACAGAAAGTAAAATACAAATTACAGGCTTTAGAATTGGTAACTCTGTTGCTAATAGTATAAAATCGATTTCAACTGATGAAAACTCTTCAAGAACATCTACAATGGTGCGATATGAAGATTGCTTCCAATTTTCATATTCGCTACTAACCTAAATGTAAAGAAGTAATTAACTTAAAGGTAAATATGCAATTAACCTAAAGGTAAATAAACAATTAACTTAAAGATAAACAATTAAACCACTAAATCTAAACTAACTTAAAAATTTAAAAAAATTTACCATAGCAAGTTTCATTAGCATCTTTTTTTCTTTTAAATTTTTACATTTACTTGCAAAAATCCCAAGTAATTTCATAGTGGGTGGAGTTGTTATATCAAGATACCATCCAAAAATCCTTCCTAGGGTGTTGGGAAAAGGCAACCTTTTTTGAAAAAGATTTTTGACTTCTTCATCTAATAAGTTAATGTAAGCAATGAAAACAATTTTTTTTCATTTAAAATATCACAAAAATTAATTTTAAAACATTAAAAAAAATACAATTACCATATAAAATTTCTTTATCCAAAACTATGTCTACAACAGTCAACGAAGTAAGTTTATTGTTTGTCACACGACTAATTAATCTATCAACCATTTCCATGTTGTTACATGCATATACTCCTAAGTGATCACCTGGCCTGTATAACAACTTTTTTGTAGATAAATTACCAATACGCACCAAATTTGTAACACGACTGTTTAAAATAAACCAATTTACTATAAACTTAACAATATTAAATGTTATTTTATTTTTTTAATTTGTGTAGTTATAAAAATGTTATAAATAAATTTAGATTTTTTTTTGCACCTTGCATACTTACAAATAAATAATGTTGAAAAAAATAGAAACTATTTAAACCTTGTATACTTAAAAGTAAAAAGGATTCTAGTTTTAATGTAATTATTTAATTACAATACTAAAGGTAAGTACAGTAATAAACTGATTTTATTTAATGCTCTCCTAATTTAGTTTTTATTACTTCGTGTAGACATTTCACTGAGTTATAGAGACACACACTGGGTTATATTTTATAATAATTTTTTAGCGGTATAAATATTTTAGTTATAAAAAAAATGTACTGTTTCAAAAAAAAAGAACAGAAAAGTATGTATGAATGTGTGTTTAGATAAAATAGTCTGCTTCTGAGGGCTTTAGTATACTTTGCCTATACAGCTATTACAGCTGTCGCTAAAGAGTATGGCTAGATTGACTGAGGGTTTGGCATGGGGCAGCAATCTTTCCTTTCATTATTCTTTGTTTTTTTCTTCTTTTTCTGAAAAAGTCTGAAAATTTACATATATATGTTTATATACTCTTGCCTGGTTTTCTTTAATTTTTACCATAAAATGTAAACATTTTTAAAAAAAACTTCTACATTTAAAAAATAATAATTAATTTAAAAGACCGGTAAAAGTTTCAAAACTTTAGAAAAATATTTTTTTTAATTAATAGATTGCTAGCCCAAACCGAAATCCTCAGTTGATGTAGCAGCACTCTTTGCAATGTTCTTGTAAACTTGGTTCTTATAGTAAAAGAAGAAACTGATGATTTTTTTAACAAAGTGATCTTTAGTGATAAAGCTCATTTTGTTGAACTTAATGTGAAGTAAATCCACAAGTAATATTGGAAAAAATAACTGCATTTACAATAATAACTGTTTGGTGTGGTTTTTGGTCTAGTGGAGGGGTCATATTTCTTTAAAAAAAAAATTGGACATATTATTGTGAAGGGTGCTTATCGGGTGTTATCGAACGGGTGTTATCGAACAATAATTAGTAACTTTTTGTTTAAAGAATTAAAGCGTATTATGTGGTTTCAACAGGGCGGTGAAACATGTCACAAAGCAACAAAAATAATCTTTTCAAAGAGAAATTTGGTGATTGAAGAGATTTTCAAGGAGGAACCGTTAACTGGCCTCCAAAATCATGTGATCTAACACCATTTCTTTTTATGGATTTTTTTTAAAAAGCAAAGTTTGCGCTAATAATACTCAAACCATTTAACATCTGAAAGAAAACATAATCAAGCAAATTACTCAAAAACCACGTGTTGGAAAATTTTACTAAAAGATTGGACTTATCTGACATTCTTTTCCACCGTTAACTGCCATATGTCTAATTTAATATTCAATAAAAATATCTGCTTATTTCAAAAAAACTGTATTTTTTTAAAAAATAAATTCAAATTTACACCCATTATATATATATATATATATATATATATATATATATATATATATATATATATATATATATATATATATATATATATATATATATATATTAGAGTGCCAATTAAAACAACTTTTTTTGAAATTGTCTGCTGCCATTCCCTAAATTTGTTCTATGTAATAAATTAACACTAAATTAAAAAAATTTTACATAAAAAAAATTTTAGGGGTATATATGCTCATTATATACTCAAGACCCTTAAATATCAAACGAGTCCCTAATATTTTTAAAAAAAAATTTCTTTAAAAGTATATTATGTTGGGTCTCAAAAGAAGTGAAATTTTATAAAAAGTTCAAAAATAATAATCATTTTATATAAATATTACTAGTTTAAATTTTATGGCCTAAAAAATTAAAAGTACATAATTTTAAAGTTTTTTTTAAATAAACTTTTTTAATTTGTGTTTCAAAAAATTGTTTTTATTATTTTTGAATTTTCATAAAATTTCACTTTTTTTGAGACCCAACATGATATACTTTTGAAGAACTTTTTTTTTTTTTTAATATTTTTTATTTTATTTTTTTTGTTATTTAGGTGCCCCAAGAAGACTTAACGGTCTTGTCACAGAGCACCGCGGAAGTGCATTTAACCAGGAAGTTCATGCCTCCTTCCTCACCGTGACGCGAAAATATGTCTAGAGTTCGTTTCGAACCTGGATCTCCTGCTTATAAAGCAAGCGCTGTAACCACTGCGCCACGACCCCATATTAGGGACCCGTTTAATATTAGAGACCCGTTTGATGTTTAAGGGTGTTGAGCAATCCCTAAAATATTCTTTTATTCAAAATTTTTTCAATTTAGTGCTTATTTATTACATAGAACACATTAATGGGGTGGCAACAGACAATTTCAAAAAAAGTTGTTTTAATTGGCACTCATATATATATATATATATATATATATATATATATATATATATATATATATATATATATATATATATATATATATATATATATATATATATATATATATATATATATATATATATATATATATATATATATAAATATATATATATATATATATATATATATATATATATATATATATATATATATATATATATATATATATATATATATATATATATATATATATATATATATATGTATGTATGTATGTATGTATTTATATATATATATCAGGCCTTTTTGATGATAGCAAAATTTAAAGAAAGCCATTTCATGTAAGCCATTTTTTATCATAATTTAAAATTTCAAGTCTAAAGAAACCATTTAAGTAGTAAGATAAAATAAGTAATAAGTAAAAAGAAATAAGAAGTTATAAAAACCACTTATGAAGTTTGAATGACAATTAAGTAAAAAAGTTTGCATAATAAATTTAATGTTCATGTACAAATGTAACTTAAGAAAATTTTATTTTTATCAATCTAACTTTTTTAACAAAAATATTCAGTTGAAGAAATTAAACATTTTTAATTTATCATCAAATTTTATTTTATAATAGTGCCACTTTTAATATCTAATTTTTTTTTTTTTTTTCTGTTATAATGATTGATTTAATCAAATAAAATGAAAAAACACAAATTATTACTGTAATAATAAATTTAAAGTTTGTAATTTACAAACTTTGAACAACATCTTACAATGAGTTTATTTTTTTATAATTAAGAAAACTTTTATGGATTTTATTTTTAAGGATTCAACTCTATAGTTAGTTTTTTTTTTTGCTTGATTTTACACTTAAAGCAATATCTTGCAATATCTTCCTTTATATTTATAAGTTTTATTTTGCAAAAAATATAAGTTTAGAAAAATAATATTTTATAATAGTTAGGTTAACTTTATATAAATAGCAGATTGTGCAATATCAAAAAAAGTAAAAACAGAAATTTTCTTATAATTAAGAAAGAATTTTGATTAAAAAAAATATTTAAATTAAAAAGAGTTGTTGAGGCAAAATTTATAAAAATATATTCAAAAAGTAATTAAATTTTTTAATTTTAGTCTAATCACTTTTTATAACTCACTTTTACTTTTTCTATTTTTTTACTATTTTTACTTATTTTACTATTTTAAAAACTAGTTAAAAAAGTTATTTAAATTAAAAGTTTTTATGTTAGTTTTTTTTATTTTCTCAGTTTTTCTTCCTCCTTTTTTCTATTTTTTACAAAAACTTAAATTCCAGTTAACATGTTATAACTTATAACACTGCATTAAAAATATTCATAAAACGTAGGTTTAACTTTTTTGTCATAAGGCAAGTGAAAGGGCAGTGGTGTATATTTTTTAATAAATGATATTTGGAAACTTAAACCTTTGTTTGTCACCTTTGTTGTCACTTTGTTGTCACTTTGGTTGTCAAAAAAAAAAGCACTGGTAAAGTAAGTTTTTTTCTTTGCAACAAGTAATATTTTTTGTTTGTTAATAACTTTTTAAAAGTAAAAAATCATTATTTGCAAAGCCACAGATTTATGAAATAATGAAAAAATATATATATATTTTAATTTATTTATACAAATGTCAAGAATAGAAAGAAATTAATTTATGTTAAATGACAATAAAAAAATGTAATAGTAAATTTAAAACTAAATTTATTTAAAACTAAAAGGAAAAAAATTGAGACAAAATAGACATTCCACAACAACATTTACAAAATTTTAGATTCACAAAATAACACTTCGTTTTCTTAATTATTAAACTTGTTTTGCTGTAATTAATTTTATTGCGGTTTAAAAAAGTTAATGTTCTTAAATAATAATTAAATACAAAAAGAAAATTGCATGACATCAAAATCATGACAAGCTAATGGATTAAGCTGTTTTTTATTTAAAACAAGGTCTATAAATATATATATATATATATATATATATATATATATATATATATATATATATATATATATATATATATATATATATTTATATTTATATTTATATATATATTTATATATATATATATATATATATATATATATATATATATATATATATATATATATATATATATTATATATGTATTTATATATGTATGTATATATATGTATATATATATTTATGTATATATATATATACATATATATATGTATATATATTTATGTATATATGTATATATATATATGTACCTGTATGTATATATATATATACATATATGTACATATATGTATATATATATATATATATATATATATATATATATATATATATATATATATAATACAAAACAGCCTTAAATATCAATATATATCAATATATATCAATATATATATATATATATATATATATATATATATATATATATATATATATATATATATATATATATATATACATATATATATGTATATATATATATATATATATATATATATATATATATATATATATATATATATATATACATATATATATACATATGAATATAAATATATATATATATATATGTATATTTATATATACATATATATATATATTTATATATACATATGTATATAATAACCTTACATTTGTTAAATAAAACAAAAAAAAATTTAAAAATTACTTAGATTCTTCAGTTTGCAAGTTGCTGACAGAAACTATTCGACATGCTTCAATGGCTTTTTGATGAAAAAGTTTAAGCTCTAAATAATATTTAATATTAAACTATTTGACTTACTTAGCAAAAAAAACCATGTATAAAAAATGTAGTAATATATTAAAGTAAATATAAGGAAAAAAATTAACTCAAAATTGTAGATTTTGCATAAAGGGTATTCTTGATATGCAAGGCAGTATATGAAACATATACCATCTCTTTCTTTTGAATAAAAGCGTGCAAGTAACTGGTAATCATTCAATCACTAGATTTTTAGATATCCTTGATTTAGAATTCAAAATATAAAAAAGATTCTCTTAAAGCATGAACATGATCTCTTTTTTTTAACTGAAGTTTTTTTTATCACCTTTAACACATTTTCTTTGGGGTTTTTTTTTAATCTACCTTTTTTTCCTAAAACTACTTTCTCTCTACATTCTGATAAGCAGATGATTGCTTTCTTGATGCTCTAATACTGTATTGAATCCAACAAAAAATGTACTACAACAAACTATACTGATTTAAGTTTACTATCATAAAAATATTTCTATTTTATAAATATTATTGTAAGTTATCTATATATTGTAAATAATCTTTAATATGTAAACAAAATAATAAGTTATAATAATTGTAATATTGTAATATTGTATAATAATAACAATAAACATTGCATCTGAATTTGTAATTAAAAATCACTTGATTAAAAATCAAGTTTTTAATTAAGTGTATATGACTGCCAATTAGGGTGGTAAACTTGTATATGACTGCCAATTAGGGTGGTAAATCTTGCACTGGCTAGTTGGTGTTGAGACTTACAAACTTTAAACAACATCTTTTAAAAACTTTATTTTTTTGTAATTAAAAAAACGACCTTCTTTTATGGATATAACTCTATAATTAATTTTTTTTGCTTGATTTTACACTTGAAGCAATATAGATCTTGCAATATCTTTCTTTATATTTATGTTTTATTTTGCAAAAAAAATATTAGTTTAGAAAAATAATATTTTATAGTAGTTACATTAACTTTATATAAATAACAGATTGTGCATCAAAAAAATATCAATATCAAAAAAAGTAAAAACAGAAATTTCCTTATAATTAAGAAAGAATTTTGATTAAAAAAATTATTTAAATTAAAAAGAGTTGTTGTGGCAAAATTTATAAAAAATATAGTAATAGAATTTTCTAATTTTAGTCTAGTCGCATTTTATAACTTTTACTATTTCACACTTATAAGTCACTTTTACTGTTTAAATATTCTATTTGAATATGTTATTTTGGTAGCCCTGTGTTAAACTATTTCAGACATAAACAAGCAAATTCCATACTAGAGCCATAAGTTCAAGATGAGTTTGCACATAGGTTGCAACCTATGTGCAAACTCATCTTGAACTTATGGCTAGTTATCATCATTCATTCCATTAACCAAAACACAATCTTGCATAACTTGTCATTTAACTAAGCTGCATCTTTTACTGTTCTTTAATACTTAAAAAGGTTTCATTTATCTATTCCTCAAACATTTTTGGATTTCTCTCCTTTCATTATTCTCTCTTCATTTTTGGATTTCTTCTTGTTTGTAACACGCAAGCGTGTTTCAGTTTTTTTAGTCTTTTGAATCTATCAATTGAATTTTTTGATTTTTCTTCTTTGTTTTCAAGTAACTTTAAAACCAATTAGTGGTTGAATTGACTCTTCTTGGTGTGAATTTGTTTAAACAAAAAAAAGGTCATTTACAGAACTTTTTATTTTTTTTTAATTTTACAATATCTACTTTTATAAATTTAAAAAAAAATTTTAAAACTTAAAAAAGTAGAGATTAACTCTAAGCTTCAAAGCTGTGCTAATATTTTTATTTATTTCCACGCTACATCCATTCAGCTACATCCAGCCATGCAAAAATCCTCAGAACTCTCTTTAATACGCTGTTATGAATAAAACCATTTAAATTCATAGTGTAAAAAAATGCCAATCTTTGCACTGTTTCACAGAGTTACTAAGTTCAGTTTGAAATTTTGCTTTTTTATCAGAAGAACTTTACATGGATTATATTTTGCAAGTGTTTAAATATGCATAACTTAAAAACAAAAACTTTAGATTTTCTGGTGACATGGAATAAAAACTTGAAGAAAAACTTTAGATTTTCTGGTGAAATTGAATAAAAACTTGAGATTTTCTGGTGACATTAAACAAAAACTTTACATTCTCTGGTAACATTAAACAAACCTCATGTTTCTTTGTTTATTTTTGGAAAGCATAGATTACATGATTACATTAAAGATTTCTTGAAATTTGAAAGAGATTTCAATTAGGAACTCTTGTGCCTAACTAAGTCTTTTGGATTTCGAGGACTGGTAATCATATAAAACAATAAGCACTGATTTCTAAATATTTTTAAGAGTTAGGTCACTGCTTGGTTTTTATTGTTAACAAAAGCATACTTAATAGTTTAAAAAATCTATATTTATATTTATATGCTATATTACTTGAAATAACAGTTATAATTATTATTATTTTTATTGCTCAAATTTTTTAATGTTTATTTATAAGAATGATAAATCCAAAACTACCATGCATTCATTATACTGCATCACAATTATAAAAAGAGGGTTAAATTGGCAAAGGTGTTTGAAGCTGTTAGCACAATTTTTGCTTTACATAACTATATTGGAAAAGGATCTGTTGACTTGCCTAAATCAAAAGAGAAAATATTCAAAAGCATAAAGAGTACAACTTAAAATTAGATAATAATCTATTTTTAGTGGAATAAAAGTAATATGAATAAATTTAAAAGAGTTCATTTTTTTAAATCATCATTTTAAATCATTATTTTAATTCATTATTTTAAACCCATAGACCAGGCATCAAACAACCCTGCTTTAGTTTATTGTAATGCTATGTTAAACATGATGAAAACATCAACAACAACTAGATACATGGATACCAAATATTCAGAGCCATTCTTTGTTATTTTAACAGAGGTGTCCACAAAAACAATTCTTTTAACTTGACTAGTAGGTATTTACATAACTAAAATATTAAAAAAAGTACAAAGTCAAAAGTAATATTTTTTGGATATATATAGAGTTGGAGGTAGTAGCTTATGAAACAAAACAGACATTCCACAATTTGTACATTTACAAAATAGACTTTCCACAATGTGTACATTTACAAAATAGACATTCCACAGTATGTACATTTATAAAATAACACTTCTAGATTTGTTTTTCTTAATTAGTTAATTAAACTTGTTTTGCGGTAATTTATTTTATTGCCGTAGTTAAAAGTTAGTCTTTCAATTTAAAAAAAATTGACATTATTTTATGACCTCAAAAGCAAGAAGAGCTAATGTGTTAAGCCATTTTTTATATAAAATAAGGCCTGCTATAGTTACCTTTTTCTTTCATTTTAGCTCATTTGATTGACACAAAAAGATTTGTTAAGTTAATCAATTAACATGGTACTCAAGATGTTGAAGGTATAATGATAAATGGTATTTTAAAATTTTAAAAAATATAACCATAACTTCTTTCCAATACTTAAACCTTTAATATATCGGCATCAAATTTATTGTGAAACAAAGCGATATACAACAAATAAAAAATTCTTTCTCGTTAACTTTACATATGAGAGAGAAGCTTGGCAAAGCTTAAAGATGTTACCTTCAAGTTATTATATTGAAGCTAACTTTATATTGACTATAAAGTTTTTTTCTTCATTTATGATTTTCTTTATTTAATTTTTTCTTCATTTATCCATGGTTTTGAATCCAATTTTTAGTGCTATACAGAGTTGGGGTTAAAAACACATTAAAAAAATAATGGAATAAAAACACAAATATGGTTATTCTAGATTTCAAAATACAAATTCAAATAAAAATATATCTAATCAGCATTTTACAAATACAAATACAAATATTTGTACTAGGTTGAAAATAAATATAAAGATATTTTTCAAAACAAGACCGATGAATAGGTACACTAAATAGAAGAATGAAAACAAGTCTAAAAAATATTTTTTTAAACAAATTTTTAGTTTATGTTTTCATTAATAATAAAAAAATAATAAAAAAAACCTTTTGGTTTTACCCAAAAAAACACTGGTTAAACTAGTTTATGGAATTGCAAATACATTTCTATGCATTTCTAATTGTATTCTAGTTTTGAATACAATTGCAAATAAAAGAATGGCAGCATATTTGGAATACCGCAGGTAATTTGAAATACTCAAATATCTCAATTAATATAAATGCCATCAGTGTTGTTTTTTGGAAAACACAAGGTCAAATAGCACATGAAGTAAAATGATTAATAAAAATAGTGCTCCATCTTCATATTTTTGCTGACAACCATGCGTTAACGAAACATGTATTTTTAAAACCTATTTGGTAAGAATGTAGTCCTTCATAAGTATTTATTAATATATTTAAAACCATCCTTTTAATTGATTAAACTATCAAAAAACCTCATTAAAATTACGTTTTGGTTTTGCAAATATTTCTCAAATTCAGACTGATCAATCTTTTCCTTTCTATAGTCCAATTTAAAATATCAAAAATAACAGCTTGAAAAGGAAAAAAAAAACAAATTGGACAAAGAACATTTGCCAAAAGGGAATCCATGATAACCATAGTGATTTTTATGAGCTCTGCAGAAATATTTGTCCCTCCCACGATCATTATTCTGCTGAAAAATATGACTAATGCTTTAATGAGAGGAGCCCCAGTTGGTTTCATAGGAAAAGTACATCCTTCATGATAAAAACAAATTTGTTTATGCAATGGCATCAACACTTTGTTGATTGTGTAAAACTAACAGAAGTCTCACCAGTACTTTTGATTCTTGATAACCATTACAGCCATACCAAAAATATAGAAATGATAAATCTTGCAAATCAACATCATGTTATGATCCTATCACTCCCACTTCATTGCAAACATAAAGCTCAATCATGGATCAAACTTTCTAAAAGCTAAAAAAAATACGGCAAGTATAACATAAGACTGCGGCAAGTATAACATAAGACTGCGGCAAGTATAACATAAGACTGCGGCAAGTATAACATAAGACTGCGGCAAGTATAACATAAGACTGCGGCAAGTATAACATAAGACTGCGGCAAGTATAACATAAGACTGCGGCAAGTATAACATAAGACTGCGGCAAGTATAACATAAGACAGCGGCAAGTATAACATAAAACTGCGGCAAGTATAACATAAGACTGCAGGTTTTCAATATTTTAGTTCTCTATAGTAATTTTATTGTTTGCATTTGTTTAAATAGCTCCTTGTAAAAACATGCACAATATAGAAGCTGGATTTAGATACTGTATTATATTAATATTAATTCTAGTGTAAAAAGTTTTATTAATTTTCGAAACACCTTAGAAACATGTGGTAATAGGAGTTTTTATACAATTGTAGAAGAAACTTTAATTTTAGATTTTTAGTTTAGATTATTAGACAATTAACACCATATGATGTGGTTGAACTATTTGTAAAAACCTATACCAAGTGCCAAACTGGAGATATTGTAGCAAATAGTTTTAAATTTGGTGGCATATATCTGCTTAATCGAATGTATTTACTAATTATGTGACAGGTGCTATAGATTCTGAAGAACAGAATCAAGATCTTCAAATTATTTCAGTTGAGTGTGGTACACCTCATCCGTAGTAGATATTTTGACTGAAGAATTTTGTTGATACAGAGCCAGGGCCATACACTACTTGGACAGAAAATCACTCCCTGGTTCCAGCTAATGGTTAATCCCTTTCATATTTCTTCTGTGCCCAAAGTAAAAAGAGAACTAGTAATAAAAGGTCATAAGCCATTAGGCAATTATTTCAAGTTCTCCTTACAAGAACAACCTTCAAAAAGCACAGTTTAAAAACTCCAATAAAAATAATAAAACACAGAAAAAAAGGAACACAATTGAAAAAGTAAATCATCAAATTCTTGGTTCTTTTTCTGGAAATTACATTTTTTAATCAAATACAATACGAATACGTCAATTTAGCTTATTTTTACCAAAGAGGTCAACAAAGACTTTTCCTGAAAAATTATTTTATGGTTTAATACGCCAGAATTACTCCAATTTCAGTCATGAATTAACTTTTGATGGTGTAAAAATCTAATGGACATTCTCTAAACAGTTCCACCAACATAAGATAAACCACAACTACTTTATAAATACCTGGTTTCCTAAAATATGGCAATAGGGATTAATTTTTATTTGTTAATAGTTTCTAAATTAAAAAAATAAAATTAGAAAAAACAAAAAAATGATATATAAAAATCATGATATGACATCAGAAAATGATATGATATCAGAAGATCAAGTTAAACTCTTTTTAAAAACTCTTTACCCCTCTGCCAATATTGTTGTTGTTGGTGATTTTAATGCCCATCACACTGAATGGCTTGGCTCTAACACCACTGATCCTGCTGGCACTAAAGCCTTTAACTTCTGCGTTTCTCAATCTCTTACTCAGATAGTTAACTTTGTGACTCGTTTTCCTGACAACCCTAATCATTTACCTTCACTCCTTGACTTATGTCTTGTCTCTGACCCTAGCTTATGTTCAGTTTCTCCCTTTTCTCCCTTAGGTGGTTCTGACCATGCAATGATCTCTATAAATCTTTCTTCTCGTACTTCTTTTTTGGGCTCACCTTATCATCGCACCACCTACTACTACCCTAAAGCTGACTGGGATTCCTTTCGTGATTTTCTTCGTGATGGTCCTTGGGCTGATGTTTTTTCTCTCTCAGCTGACAAATGTGCCTCCTACGTAACCTCCTGGATTCAGGCTGGAATGGAAGCTTTTATTCCTTCTCGTCGGTTTCAAGTCAAGCCTCATTCTACTCCATGGTTTTCTCCTTCTTGTGCGGCTGCTATATCCAATCGTAATCATTTTTTTCATCTTTTTCAAAAGAACAACTCTCTTGAGAACAAACGGCTATTTATTATTGCAAGAAATCGATGTAAAAAGGTGCTTTCTGATGCTAAACTCCATTATTCTCAGTTCACTAAATCTCGCATCTTATCGCAGAAGTTAGGCTCTAAAGACTTTTGGAAAATCTTCAACAGCATTGTTAACAAGGGTAGATCTAACATTCCATCTCTCATTCATGGGACTGATCTTGTTACCTCTCCCAGGGATAAGGCAGAACTGTTTGCAAAGAACTTTTCTTCTAATTCCACTCTTGAATCTTATGGACATTCTCTTCCTTCCATTCCAGTCAAACAGGTTGACCCATTGTTAGACATTCAAATCACTCCGGCTTCTGTTGCTAAAGTCATATCTCAATTAAACTTGTCTACAGCTTGTGGTCCAGACAACATTCCTGTCACAGTCTTGCAGAATTGTTCTCCAGAACTTTCTTCAATTCTCTCTAAACTATTTAACAAGTGTTTGACTGAGTCTTGTTTTCCTGCTTGTTGGAAAATGGCATCTGTGGTTCCAATATTCAAAAACTCTGGAGAAAATTCTGACCCCTCCAATTATCGTCCGATCAGTCTTCTTTCTGTTATTAGCAAGGTCTTTGAGTCTTTAATCAACAAATTCCTCACATCTCTTCTTGAGTCAAATAAACTGCTGTCAGACAATCAATACGGTTTTCGATCCTCTCGCTCTACGGCCGACTTGCTAACTGCTGTAACTGAAAGATTTTATCGTGCATTAGATGGAGGCGGTGAGGCTAGGGCTATTGCTCTCGACATATCTAAAGCTTTCGACAAATTTTGGCATGCTGGTCTTCTCCATAACCTTGCTTCATATGGTGTTTCTGGGAAAGTTTTTGAGATTATCAAATCATTTCTTTCTAACCGGTTTATTAAAGTCATCCTTGAAGGCCAACACTCTTCTTTATTTCCAGTAACTTCTGGGGTTCCCCAAGGTTCCATCCTGGGCCCTGTTTTGTTTCTTATCTACATAAACGATCTTCCTGACAACCTTTTAACTAAAGTAGCTCTTTTTGCTGATGACTCAACTTTATACTCCTGTCTTGACAAAAAGTCTTCTCTTTTCAATCGCCTAGAACAAGCAGCTGATCTTGAATCTGATCTTACTTCAGTAATAGATTGGGGTTCACAGTGGCTTGTGAATTTCAACTCTAAAAAAACCCAATTGCTTACTGCAAACAACTACCGTAATATGGTCAACATTCCTATATTAATGAATGGCAATCCTCTTACTGAGTCGTCCTCTTTACGTCTTCTTGGATTATCGCTTACTACTGACCTTTCATGGAAACCATATATACAATCGATTGCTAAATTAGCTTCTGCTAAGGTTGCTTCTCTTTATCGTGCTCGCTATTTCCTTACTTCTGATTCCATTCTCTACCTCTACAAATCTCTTATTCGTCTCTGTATGGAATACTGTTGTCATATTTGGGCTGGTACTTCTAACGATTCACTTTCTCTTCTTGACAAGGTCCAAAAACGCATTGTAAATGTTGTTGGACCTGGACTATCTGCTAAGCTTGAACCTCTTTCCCATCGTCGTAAAGTTGCATCTCTTTCTCTTTTCTACAGATACTATCATGGTCACTGCTCAAAGGAGTTATCATCTCTAGTTCCATCAACTAAAATTCATTCTCGTTTTACTCGCCATTCAGCTAAGTCTCATTCGTTTTCTGTATCTGTCCCTGCATGCTCTAAAAACTTTTATTCATCTAGTTTTTTTCCCCGCACTTCAATCCTTTGGAACTCTCTCCCATCTTCATGTTTTCCTGACTCATACAACCTTCAACTTTTTAAGTCTTCTGTCAACCGTTTCCTTGCTCTATAGCTCTGTTCTTTTTTTTTCCTAGTAACTCCCAACTTAATAGTGGTTGCTTGCAGCCTTGTTGGGAGTGAATGCAAATAAAAATAAAAAAAAAAAAAAAAAAAAGATGGAAGGTTTACGTTTATTTAATGACTAACACAAACAAATTTTTGAATCTTGTTGCATTTTTTATCAAATGTTGGTTGTATAATTTTTATCAGGTATTCTGATACATTAGAACCTAGGAAGTTAAAATTTGGTCGTGCTATATTTGAGACAATAATTTCATTGGATAGTCTTAATTTGGCTTGTGAGCTTTTATTGCGCCGTAAATGCATGGAGGTAAAGGATCACTTGGTTTGTCCAAGTAATCCTTTACCTCCACAAAAGTGAAAACAAAATGTTTGTACTCACTTTTGGTAAATCTTTCATAACGTTCTCTGAGTCTGAAATATGTGGGTAAACGTGTCCAATCATCTGGAATTATTTTTGTACTTTTTATTTGTTCTGTACTTTTTATTTGTTCTGTAATTTTTAGGAGTGAATCTATTTTAATTTCAACTAGACTAGAGACATCAAAAATTTATCAAAAGGATAAATTTGTATTCAATTTTATTTACAAAAAATTTGAAAAAGATTACTTTTGGTTGATTTTACTTTTTTTAGTACACAAAGTACATCTTGGTGAATTTTTATCAGTTTCTTTGTTATAACTTTTTCATTTTAAAGCAGTGACTTCAGTTTTAGTCTGACATATCAAACATATTTGCCTGACTGACATAAATACAATGTTTTCTTTTAACGAATTTTTTAAACATTTTTTTGTTAAAATATTTAGTTTTATAGTCTGATGTTAAGACTGTCTAGTGGTTTTGAAATATTACTAATAAACAACTTAGTTTTTTTGACTGTCTTCATAAAAAAAAGTAATTTAAAAAGCAATTTAGTATAAACATTCATTAAAATCTCCCCAAAACAACATAGCAAGTAAAACCATGTTAAAAAAAATTTACCTTCATGGAGAGATTTCATGATAAATATTTCAGGAAATATAACGTGATAGTCTTCACTACGCAATTGAAAACTGTGTGTTGATTGATTTTCAATCTTCACTGAAAATTTTTCACATGCTGCCTATTAAAAAATATACAAACTAATTTGCGTTTTGTGAACAACAAGTGAAAGATAAAAAATTTTAAAAAATAGTTCTTTACAGTTATTATGCAACAATGGAAAATAAAATTTTAGTGAACAACTTTTATAAAAACACAAAGTCCATGATAAAGATTAACTGCTTTAACTGTTGTAATATGTTAGCTTTAACTGTTGTAATACGTTAACAAATATGTAAATCAATAATGTAAATCAAAAGGATTGAGTCTAGGGCCTGAACCCAAATCTTTTGACTTACAGTGTTATTACACAGTGTTATTAAAAGCTTAAAATTAGTGAATGGGCATTAACTTAAAATAAACATAAGTAATAAAGTAATGAAAACCAATTTTATTTATAAAAATATGAAAACCAATTTTATTTATAAAAAAATAAAAACCATTTAAATTTATAGAACAATTAAAAGTTTAAATTTTCTAAAAACAAAATTTTTTTTTTTGAAATTTAAACGCAATATTTTTTTATTTTATGGGACAATTTTATAATTATGGGACAATTTCATAAAATGTTTTGAATAAATAAAGTTGTTTCGTTATGAAAGATAAAGATAACATCTCTTGCAATGTGCATTGAAAGTTTTCAAATGATTTTAAGAGTAGTAATTTCTTGGCAGCTATTGATGAAAATTTAAAGATGGCAGCTATTGATGAAAATGTATTAAAAACAAAATTGAAAGGTTATTATAAGTTTAAAAAAAAACTCAACCAAATAAAGCCATATTTTTCATGGGTGAAAAATGTACCCCACAAATGAAAAAAGAAATTTACTCAAAAATGTAAAATGAATTTTGCTCAAAAATGTAAAATGAATTTTACTCAAAAATGTACAATGAGATTAAGAATAAAAAAAAATTGTAAATAAATGAAACCATATAAAAAAAAACTAGAAAACACCTGTTGAAAAAAAATGCTTGTATAGTTTGTAACAAATAAAGCAAGAATCAAGTTCTGTAACTAACTAAAAACCTAATAAACAAATAAATAACACATAAATTTAAAAATAAGTTTATGTATCCATACCAAAAACCAGCCAAACAACTAGAATTTAATTGACTCCTCTTAAGAAATAAATACAATGAAGTTCTTAACAATAAAAATAAATTAAATAAATCCTTTTATTTTATTAACAAAAATGATAGAATCTGCTGGATTGATGCCATTAAGATCTAAAACAAAGCTCCAAATAAACACACATTTGTTAACTGGAAAAAAGAAATTAAAGCATATTACAAAATCAACAACGCAGTCATCAACAATTAAAGTGCTTCATCAACAACAATCACTAAATCCAAACTTCTTTATTAAAAACAGAAACAAAACCACTTAGAAAATCATTAACAATAACAAAATCCATGCCAACAATAAAACAATATTGTTAAAAACAATACTAATCATACTGACAACAATTCCAAAATCAAATTTGTTAACTTTATTTCAAAAATATTGAAAACCAGCACTAACAAAAAGATTTTAATTATCAAAACTTAAACTCTAAAATACAATTTGCTTTAAAAACAAATAGCATGGAAAACACTTTTTTAAAAATTTTAAAGGAACAAGCAATTTCAAAATCACTCAAAAACAAACACAGAATTAAATATATATATATATGGATCAATAACAAAATAAAACAAATTGTTTAAAAAAAAATCTGTTAAGGCATCACAAAACAGATCTTGAAAAACCTTCTCAACAAATGAAGAGCAAATCCAGTAGTTAAAACTTAACCTATTAAAATTGATTGATGGAGATGGAATCAGTCCTTATGTCCTAAAAATGTTTAATCGCTTTACCATAACAACTAATATTTCAGCTAATTTATAATAGTGCAAGTCTTGTGATAAGGTGCTAGACATAGTGCATATCACATACATGAAAGGTAACTTTACGTAAGACAAGGCTAATTACGTTTAGTTAAAAATATTTTTGTTTGTCTGTTAAAACAAAAGTTTTGTTTACTCTAAAATTATTAAAATAACTTTAAAGATATTCTAATGAAGTAAATAACGTTGATTTTAATATATTAAAATCAACGTTATTTACTTCATTAGAATATCTAGATATTTTAATTAGTATTTTAAAGACCAAACACCACTGTTACAAAAATTTGAATTGCAAATACAAAAAAAAAAACTATTATTTGAAAATAATAAATTCAGATAAAATAAAAAAAGCTTAGATATTTTTGAAACTTTTATAAAACAAACTTTTTTAATGAATATATTTAGGAACAGAGAAGAAACTACTTGATTGTTTTTATGCTACATAAATAAACCAAATGTTAAACTATTAAAAGAAAATTTTGTTGCAAGCAAATTAATTTAGCAACCATGTGAATATTTATTTAGGCTATGTTAGTTTTATAAGCTACATTTTTTCAGGTATCAAAAATACAGCATCACCCGGCAATTAAAAGATTATTTCAAATAAAGTTTTTTTATAACTTTACTTTTAAACAATTT